AAAAAAAAAAAAAAAAAAGAAATGAAGCAGATATTTCGGCGGGTTTAATTGGAAAGGATAAGCTGGAAGAAATACCAGGAAATGAAGAAGGAATCTTAAAGGGAGATAGTTTCAGAGACACTACGATGAAAATAAGAAAAAGGAGGGAGAAATAAGATAGGTCAGTTTGGGATAAAAGAAAGTAGAGGAAATGACATTGAATGAAGAAGTGAAAAATTTAGCGAGGAAGTATCTAAAGAGGAGAGAATTGAAAAAAATGAACGTGAAAAAGAAGAATGCAGAAAGAGATATTAATAGAAAGTGAAATTGTGACATAGAGAAAAGAAGTCCAAAGAAGAGGATTTTAAAGAAGAGAGATCTAAGAAAGATTTAAAACCTTGAGAAATTATTCAAAGAAAAAAATAAAAAAAAACTGAAATAATTTATTAATTAAAATCTTCATAACATAAAGAGACTTGAAGATTTAAAAATGTGAAATATTAAAGACAAAAATAGAATTATAATAAATATGAAATGCTGCAGAGAGTGAAAAAAGGAAGAAGGATTCCAACAAAAACAAATTTAAAGTTTAAAAAAATCTCAAGAAAAAATCTGAAGGATTTAAAGCAATCTATTAAATAAAAAAAATTTCACAAGATGAAAAAACACTTAAAATAAAGTTTAAAAACATGGAGTAGTGAGGAAAAAATTGGAATTATATGAAATGTTTCAAACATTTGGAATGGAAGGAAAGAAGAGCCCTGGAGAAAAAACAAGTTTGAAAGAAGAGGAAAGAAAAAAAATCAATGAGAAACAGAGGAACATTAGAAAAAACCGTATGGGCAGATCAAAAGATATGAGAATTCAAGGCTGAAGAGAGGTTGAAGAAAGATCTAAATAGAAGAATTAAAAGAGAGGGACGCAGAAGAAATGTTCTTCATCTATAGAAGGTAACTCGTAGAAGAAGAGTAGGAGAAAACCTAGAGAAAGGAGGGTCAGAAACTAAAGAGATTAAGGCATGGAATCCTAGAAAAGGGGGAGCTTAAAGAGACGTACACGCGGATTAAGAGAGAAGAGTATCAAATGAAGAGGGATTAAAAATCAGAGATTCGGAAAAAAGAGGCGTGGTTCAGAGGATGGAAACAGAGATGTAAGCATAAGAATAAAAAAGAAAGGTTGAAAATAAATCAGAGATTAGAATAAAAATATGAATATTATTCAACCGAAGATGGAGAGATTCATAGAAGAAATTTATTTTCATTTAAAAAACTATTATTTTACAAAAAAAATATTAAGAAATGCAAATTTTTATTTCTTTTTAAAAAATAAATTTATTTTATTTTTAATATACATTTCATTTTATAATTTTCTACAATTTTAAAATAAATGAATAATTAAAATAAAAATTTAATTAAATTTAACAAAGAAAGTAAACAGTAAAGATCAAAAGAATTATTAAAATATATAAAAAAAAAATCTATTACACAGAAAAATAAAAAAAATTTGGACATTATAACGTAAAACGAGGAAAAGATCTAAAAGATAGATCAAGAAAAAGGATGAAAGAAAATAAAAAGCAAGAAGAGAAAAATATTGAAAAAAAATTCATCATACCAAGAGATACTTTGCAACTGATTTATAAACAACTTGTTCACAGTAGTTTCCTCTACAATTATTTTGAATACTTTCTTGGATAATTAGAATAGAAAATGCAAGGTTTTCTGGTATGTTACGATTTAACGATTATCGTTGCATCAGCGGAAACAAGGTTAATTTATTCGAAGAAGCATGCTTCGCGTGTTCGAATATGTTTGTTTGCTCGTGGCTGATCTGGTACGGTATTACTGTTGATTATTAAAATCTGATTTTTTAAAATTTTCCGCATTGGCAGATTATCTAATATGTATTTATGTAGTAAATTTTTAATCATTTTTAAATTTCATATTTTTGTTTTCAGGTTTTTATTTAATATTTGTCAATTTTTTTAATTTAATTTTAATTTAATGTCAGTTTTTTAATATTTAATATTTCTAAGCACATTTCTATTTTTAATAGTATTATAAATAAAATATTGAAAATATTAATATTATTTAAATAATATTAATAGAAATATTAGTAAAATATTAGTCTGCATATGTAAATAAATTATTAATACTCACTTTTTATTTCATATAGTTTATATTTGGCCAAGTTATATTGTATTGTGATCTTTATAGTTTTTACATAAGCAAGAATTTTTCTTTTGCATGTGGAATTTTCTTCAGAGTATAGATCCAGTTATTTCACACTTCAATATTTATTATATTCTGTGAACAGAAACTCACATCAAAATAATATTTCAATATCTGAAAATAATTAATACAAATATTAGATTCTTGGTCTTAAATTTTAATCTAATTAAATTTTAATTCTTAGAATGAATTTATTTAATAAAAAATTATTATTTATTCAAATTATTTTAAAAATTAATATCTAAAATATAAAAATGATGAAAATACATCATAATAAACGATAAATATGAGATCAAAATCTACATACAAATATATTACAATTTATAGATATTATAAATAATTTATATTGAAATACTAAAAATTAATAGAATAGAATATATATTTTCAATTTAACATAATACCATTTTTCCCCCAGAATAAATGTTAATAAAATTTACATTAATAGTATACATTATACCAAATCATTGAATGTCCATTCCTCGAAGAAAAGAAGAATAAACAAAGTTTTGAAACGACAATCAGGAAGAATTTAAAACTTTCTTCCTTTTTACCATTTCTCTATTTTTTTTCTATTCTCTCGAGGAAAGTTTGCGGAGATGGAAACAAAGTTCCAAGGCTTCCTGTCACTTTCGAAAAGATATTCATAGTCGTAATCACGTTCATTTGAAGCTGGATGCATTTTAATGCCGCGTGTAAATCGTGCGGATTCCAAAAATTGTCGCGCTCCAGGACAAAAACTTAGGATTCGTTAAGGACGTGCATGATACTTATCAAACGATGAAGGAGTGGAGAGGGATTAACGAATGTCCTTTCACGTGTCACATGCCAGCCTTGTGATCAATTCTCTATTCTTTTACAAGCATTTTGCTTAACTTTAAATGGATATATCAATTTTTAGTGAAAAAATTGAAATTAAAACATATAATATAGAATAGTATTTTTTTAAAATAATTAATGATTTTAAAATGATGTTATAATTGTATTTTTTTTTGTTGGAAACAATGGAAAATGTAATCCTTAATGTTTTTCCTTAATTACCAAGAAGAATAATTGTAATTTATAAAATAAACTTCTAATTAAATTATAAAAAACGACAATTATTTTATATATATATATTTTTTTAAAATAATTATATATATATATAATTCTTTATAAAATTCTAATCTTATCAATAATTTATAATTACATAAAAATGTAAAATTTCCAATTGGATAATAAATTGCATCTATCTTTCGTAAATAATATCACAAGTGAAAAATCACAGAATGCTAAAGAAAAATAAATTACGTAAAATATTGCGTAAAAGGAGGAGATGTTAAATTCTCAAAATTCTGCTAGAATTTCAATTTTTATCATTAAATTTAAAATTCTTACAATAATATTTAACTTTATTGTGTATTTAAGCAAAGAATTATTTTAAAAAAAACGTAAAATATCAAATTCTATTATATAAATATATTCTTTTCTTATTCATGAACGAAAAAAAAGAGAAAAAAATTGTAATACAAATTTCATTGGTAAGATTCAGAAACATCAACTCAAATATTCCGAACGTTATATATGTATACAAATTATTATTATCGCGAAAATAGAAATTGAATCAAGATTATATTTCGACGCGAATTTGGTTCAGAAACATTTTTGAGACGCAAAATACACTATAAGGCCACCTGGTAGTGGCGCAATTTAACGATTTCCGGTTGCGAGTTTCAATACGTATTTCGATGGTCGTTGGTTACGTTCGATAAACCGACGACGTAAAGCAGATGAAATTACACGATTTAGGGAAAATTTAATTTTCTTAAGATTCCCTTCGTAACTTGTTTATAAATCTTCCTGTAACGTGATTTAAATATCCGAGTTATTATGGTTCTATAATATATATTCATACTAACTGTAATACTTCAAATAATGAATCCAAGATAAACACACACACTCGTACAAGATAATTCAAGAGAAGCAAAGAATTTATGCAATTCAAATCCAAGGAACCTAAGCGTTCCCTAAAAATCTTCCACCAAATCCACTGAATCCTTTAAAAAATTCACGGAATCCAAAGAAACGATTCAAAGTTTTCAGCAAAAAATAGCAAATCGCGATGAAAAATCAACGCAAAAAGAGAGAGAGACACGAGTGGGCAGTGAATCGACAGTGAAGCGCGCGTCGTGTGCATTCGCGACACGGTCGAGGTAACGACAAGCCATGGATTACTCGCGCGACACGTGTTGCCGACGTTTACCCGCGTCACGTTAACATGTGCATCGGCGTCGTTCCGCGTAAGTGCGCGCAGAAGTACGCGTACACGTGGTTTCGGCCAGCCGATCCTGTTGCGGATGATTTACATGCGGTCACGCAACGCCAGCTGGCCTCGCACAGGACAACTACTTTCCCTCCGCAAACGCTCTCGATCCTCGCCGTGGTTCACTGCCCCCGACTTTGCGCACCGTTTGATGCTCCGAAACCGTGCTCCTGCTCGTTCGCGCGATTTTTAGGGGGGAGTTTGTTGTCTCGGTGGATTGGGTTTTCAACGCGTGGAAGAAGAATCGGTGACAAGATGGTTTGAAGT